TGCAACTGGTACTTCCTCCCTCCCTCCCTCTGACCCTTCAGCTTTCCTGAAACTTGTCCCGTTTCCTTTTTCTTTTTTTTTTTCCAAATTAGACTTTATTTTTTAGAGCAGTTTTAAGTTCACAGCAAAATTAAGCAGAAAGTACAGAGAGTTCCCATGGACCCCCTGTCTCCATACAGGAGGGTGTATCCTCCACTATCAACCTCCCCACCAGAGCGGGACAAATGTTCAAATCAATGAACCTACAGTGACATATCATCACCCCAAGCCCATAGTTCCACTGGGGTTCACTCTCAGTGTTGTAAATTCTATGGATTTGGACAAATGTGTACTGACACATATCCACTGTTATAGTGTCATATGGAATAGTCTCACTGCCTTAAAAATCCTCCGTGCTCCGCCTATCGTCCCCACCTCCCTGCACAGCCCCTGGCAACCACTGATCTTTTTACTGTCTTCATAGTTTTGCCTTTTCCAGAATGTCATACAGTTGGAAGCACACAGTATGTAGCCCTTTCAGATCGGCTTCTTTCACTTCGTAGTATGGATTTAAGTTTCTTCCATATCTTCTCATGGTTGGATAGCTCATTTCTTTTTAGCTCTGTATAACATTCCATTGTCTGGATGAACCAGTTTATTTATCCATTCACCTCCTGAAGGACATCTTGGTTACTTCCAGGTTTTGGCAACTATGAATAAAGCTGTTATAAATATCCGTGTGCAGGTTTCTTTGTGGAGGTAAGTTTTCAACTCATTTGGATAAATATCGCTTCATTCTTTTTCACCTGGTAGCTCCCACTCATTTCTTAGGTCTCTGCTTATTTATAGCCTTATCCAGGAAGCCTTCCCTAATTCCCCCTCTGGCTTGGCACGCATGCCCCCTCTGTACCCCACAACCCATTATACTTCTCCCAAAACAGCATAAACTATTCTGTTGGCTCCTGTCTTCCTTGCTGGTCTTGGGCTCTTCAAGGCAGGGCTCAGGTCTCAGCACACAGTAGGTGTCTAATACATGCTGGTGAAATGAATGAGAAATGCTGAGCTGTTATCTGTGGGGAGCACTTACCTGGAAATGAGCTGTCCTGAGATTCTCAGATGTGGTGGTAGCAAAGCCTTCGCTCCATCTAGCCACACTCTCTTCAACCTTGAAGACCGACTACTCCAACCTTGAAGTATTAGTAGCTGCTTCTAATCCCCAGAAAAGGTCTCCCAACCTTTGTGTTCTAGACACACTCACAGTCTGGCACATATTTATCTTGCTTTTCTGCTCAGAATGCAAGTACCTGGAGTACGGAGTCGATGTTTTACTGTACTTTCCCCCGTGTATCCCACGGTGTCGAAAATGGCGTCACGCAGCGTTATGTATGTTGTGGTTGAGATTCCAGTCCTGGGTTTATGACCCAACTCTGCCTTCTACTGATAAGGAAATCTTGAGCAAGTTATATTCTGTAAACCTCGGCTTCCTTATCTCATGAAATAATAATAGTGAAATCCATAGAGTCATTGTGAGAATTAAATGAGGTAATATATGTAAAGCTACTTAGTACAGTGATTGGTACATAATAAATATATAATAAATAATAACTATTATGATTATTACTGATGTGCCAGGCACTGAGTTAGGCGGAGAAATGCGGAGATCAAGGAAACAGGGTTCCTCTTCCCAAAAAGTTCAGAGTCGAGCAAAAAGACAACTATAGCTAGTAGTTAGGGGACAGTGTGAAGAATAAGGGTGAGTCAGAGGTGCTATAAAGCTCAGAAAAGAGGAAGTTCATGGAAGAAGGGCTGGAGGAAGTGACCCCACTTCTGGGTCTTGAAGGATGAATAGAATTTAGTCCAAGGGAACAACAGAGTCAAAGGTATCCTGACAAAAAGAACAGGGTGTTCAAACGGGAGCCAAGCAGGTTCATGGACAAGCATTTTAGTGCAGCTTTATAGAGGGAGTGGAGGAATGGTAAGAGCTGCAGCTGGGGAGGTGAGCTGTGGTCTGATCTTAGGGGCCTGAGTATTGGCTTGAGAAATGTGACATTCAAAAAATACCTACTATGGATGGATGCAGGAGGAGATGGACAGTCAGACAGATAGAGATGTATAGAGATGGACAGGGATAGATGAATGGATGGATGCGAAGTTAAATACAGATGGGGAAGTCACTCTACAGACAGGTGGATAGATAGATCAATGGAAGTATGGGTAGAAATATAGGCAGATGGAGATATATATAAATGTATGAACAAATGTAGAGAAGTATAGATGCATAGCTAGATGGGGAGATGTACATGGGTAGATGGGTGCACGGATGAATGCACAGGTGAATGTGTAGAAGAATGAGCTGATGCATGGATGGATAGATAAGTGAATGAATAAATGGTTCTAAAGAAGATTGTTTAGAGATGAAGGATTGGTTAAATGGGTACCTGGAATGGATGAATGAATAGCTGGAGAGACAGATATGAACTGATGGATGGATGGATGGATGGATGGATGGATGGATGGATGGATGGATGGACGGACGGATGGATATAGGGATGGGACGCAGACTAGAGTGGTGCATAAATGGAGGGGTGGCAGAATGGAAGGATGGGGGATAGAAAGTTGGAGGGGACCGATGGTCGGATGATGGATATACAGTTAGAGGTTCCATGGATGGCCACTACTGCCTTGGTTTCTCTCCAACTTTCAAGCCCCACCTACCTTCAAAGTCCACTCGTCCATCCCCATTGAGGTCCACATCTCGGATAATTTCTTCTATGTCTCGGTGTCCCACCTGATGACCCAAGAGTTTCCTCATGGCCTCTCGCAGCTCACTGGTGCTTATCTCCCCATCACCATTGGTGTCAAACTAGAGAGGGCAGGAAGGAGGGAGAAGTAGCTACAATACAGAGACTAGCAGAAGCAGATCACAAGATTGAGCTTCTTCTCCAGAGTCACTGTTCCCCTTCCCCAGAGACCCTTCTGTTTCCAAGCTCCTTCCCCTGGTCTGGGATCCAGGGTTCAGGTTTCTTTTCAAATTAGCCATCTTGGGGTTGGGATTCTAACAATCTACCTACACCTTGCCTGTCTACTGCCCATCACTCACCTCTCGGAAAGCATCTCTCAGTTCCTTTACTCCAATCATATCTGCCGTCTCCGCCAGGAGTTTAGGTCCCATTAGTTCCACAAAGTCATCAAAATCCACATGGCCACCCACTGAGGACAGAGGAAAGAGCTAGGTCATCCATCTAACCATTCCCCACCTCTAATTAGGTACTGTCAACTTCTCCCTGACCTGCCCAGAGCTAGGTCCAAGGTTTTACCAAAAGCCAAATGCTGACAGAAAGGTGACCATCGACAGGTGGTTTGTTAAAGAATGGCTCAGGGGAGTGACCAGGGGTTGATGAAGGAAACAAGTCAGGAAGTGGGTAGAGGTAGATATGGGAGAAAGAAACATTAGGTCACAGAGACAAGTAAAGAATTTCAGAGGCGGACAGACAGAGACACGCAAAAAGGCAGAGAGAGAAGCAGAGGTTCTGGGCACCTGGCCCACAAGTCTTGTGGCGCAAATGGAAGCTCAACTTCCAACACTCAGGATGAAGAAGTGCTGGGGACCTCACACCCACCTACAGCCTGCTCGCACCAGCTTTCCACCAGTGACTGACAGGAGTTTGGGGGATAAATGCCCAGCTGGAGAGGTGAGGGTGGGGGTATAACTCTGAAGTAGGCTGCTACCCTAACTCTCTGAGTTTCCCAGCAGAATTAGACTCCAGCCAGTGGTAGCTGACAAGAGCGCACCCTTTGCTGGCTCTTTCTCTTCCCTGTCTCACTTCCCTACTCCCTATCGATGCTTTTCATCACCTACTGAATAAACAAACTACTTACACTTTCAAATCCTTGTCTCAGGCCTGCTTCTGGGAGAACCCAAGAGAAAAACATAGTAATAATAGCATCTCTCCGTTCGACTCTCACTATGTGCCAGGTATTGGGCTGTTTCAAATGCATTCTCCGATTGACTTTCTCTGCTCCACTCCTCCTGTTACACCCTCATTTTCTGGGGGAGGAAACTAAGGCTCAGAGAGGGTAAGTGGTTTGCCCCAGGTCACAGAGCTGGAAGGAGGTGAGCCCAGAATCTGAAGCCAGGCCTGTCTGACCCCAGACGGCTGTAAGGGGAAGGACAGAAAGGGCAGGTGCCCAATGTAAGGACTCACGGTTCATGTTGATCTGCTGGGACAGCTCAATAAGCTCCATCTCGGTGGGCATATAGCCCATGGTGCGCATGCAGTTGCCCAGGTCCCGACAGTTGATGTAGCCATCCTTGTCCTTGTCAAATTCTCTGAAGGCCTCTCGGAGCTCTGGGGAAGGGACCGAAGGTGGATGTGGTCGGAGGTGGGACCTGCAGAGCCTCTGAGGGCAGCGGCAACCCAAGGGCCCATTGGCTTAGAGAACTGGGCCGTGGAGCTGCCCAGGACTGCACACTCCTCTGACTCCTGGCTCCATAGAGGATATCTGGCTTCGTCCCAGGCCCTGTCCCTGGAGGCCGTCTCTGCCTCTCTTCCCACCAATCTCCCTTCCCTCATTTCCTGGGTGGCTGAAACTCTTTCC